GCAGAACAAAGTGTGAAAGATAAATTAATTAAAGAAATAAGTAAAAGAATAGCTAAGCAGACAATCCATTCCAAAAATTCCGTCTCCACGAATTTGTCTACACTCTGTACTACTTGATCAATCAAATCAGTTCTGTTTCTATCTTTACATAACACAGCTAACTTCGATCCAAACACAAAAAACAATAATTATATGGCCCCAGTTTATTATATTATCAATAAACATTTCTGTTAATACGTCTTTAAAAAAACGTCTCAATATTCTCATTTGAATCAAGCAATACTTCCCTTGTCAAATTATAAAGACGCTTTATACATCTTTTCCCAATATTTGAAAAAATTACAGTTCATATTCTCTATTTATTCCATATCATTACCTAGTTTATATGCTACAAACGCTGAATTGATTTCTCGTGCAATTCTTTCAGTTTCCATGCTTATATTTTTTTCTCGAATTACGCTATTTCTTCAAAATATATACCTAAAACGAATACTAAAATTTCATGACCTCACTTACGTTTATACCAGTATTATAATAATAATAATAATAATAATAGTAATAATAATAATAATTATTATTATTTGTATTATTATTATTATTAATATTATTATTATTATTATTATTATTATTATTATTATTATTATTCCCGTATTGTACAATTAATATACTCAGCATTATCCATATATATGTACCCGCATAATTATAGTTTATGTACAGTACTCTCATAATTATAGTTTATATACCCTCATTAATATTCCATTTATTGTTATGAATAAATAGTTTCATTTCCAATAAACAGTCTAGAGTGGTTAATCTAACTACAGGCGTACGATATAAGAAATATTTTTCGGGGGGACGAATATTATTTAGAGGGAACGAAATATTATTTCGAGAGATGAACGAAATAATATTATTTCGAGGAACAAAATAACATTTCGAGAGAACGAAATAATATTTCTGGGGAACGGAAGTAATATTTCGGGGGAACGAAATGATATTATTTTGAGGGAACAATATAATATTTCGAGGGACAAAATAATATTTCGAGGGAACTAAGTAATATTTCGAAGGAACGAAATAATATTTAGAAGGAACTGAAATGATTTCGAGGGAACGAAATAATATTTCGTTTCCTTGAAATATAATTTCGTTCCCTCGAAATGGTTTCGTTTCCTCGAAATAATTTAATATTTTTTTCTAACAATGTCCCTTTAGGGTCTCTGTATGAAGCCACACACTCAGATTGGAAAGAAAGCATGTTACCCCTTATTGTAAAAACAATGTCTTACCGATCTGGGTCTAGGTATCAATAAATTTCAGGAAATAGTCGTAAAACGTAACATTAAAAAGCTCTTCTGCTTTTTCCTTAGTATCGCACTAGAATATAGATTTAAAAAAAAATATACTGTATGCTTATAAAATAATTCGCGTATATTATTATAATTATATAAACAAAAATACAGACATAATTTGAATTTACTGTAATTATTTAGGCCTAGTTCACTCGTTTTCAGAATGAGATATCCTAAGAAATTAATTTTGAGCACAATCGCTTTCTGTAGGATTTTAACCCGTTAAAGATTAACAGATTATTTTTCAGTGTTCAGCAGATAACATTGTAATGAAGGTACTTAAGATTATGAGTGAGCCCTCTATTGTATGATACATAGAGTAAGGACACATGAGCCTTAAGGCAGTTGGTAACTATGGGGTGCCATACGCAGCAAAAAATCAATGTTAAAATCAAAATGTAATTGCAAAATTCAATGTCTAATTTATTAAAACGTAGGCGTAAATCTCTCAAAATGCAGATCTAGTTTTTCAAAATGAAGTTCTAATTTTTCAAAACTAGAATTTTTCAAATTTCTTTAAAATGTAATTCAAATTCAAAACGTAGGTCTGACTTGATCAAAAGCCCTCTCCAAATTATATTTCAAAACGTAAATCAAAAACCAGCCTGGTTTGAAATGCATTTTACAACAACACTAGAAATAGACTTTTGCTGCGTATGGCACTAGACTTGCGAAATGTAAATCAAAACTAATCAGCCAAGCATGACGTGGGCCTGTTCCATTAGTGATGGGGAAATCATTTTTCGCTGCAGTCCAATGCCGTGAACAACGCTTCCTAGACTTGCCACAGGTCTCTTATTTTTTTATTATTTTTTCTCATTCTGGACAGCGCCACCAACGAGAAAGTTAATTTAGAGACGGAATAAGCGACTTGTAAAACACTGAAATCAGGCACCAGGATGCCAAAAGAATGACGTAATCTTATATTCCGTATTTGGATAAATGGGCGGACCGAAATAAACAATTTCAACCAATCAAATGTTCATATTTTTGGAGCCACGAAACTGAGTCACTCGCGTCGATTTAGTTAGGCATGACTTAATTTAAATAGTCCTCCCTAATAAAACGGGCCTAAAATATTTAGAATAGACCCTAGTAAAACTAATGTTGGCAATGGCAAAAACCATTAAGCTTAGACTAGATGACATACCATACAAATACAACAATACAACTTTAACTGATGATCTGATCCAGTAGGATGGCTCAGGCCTCGTCTGAAGTCAGTGTAAGTAGGCCTAGCCTAGACTAGTAGAGGCTTGGCCTATTTTTAAGTTCTTACTTAAAGAGGCCTACCTTTTTAACAATATTCTACCCTAGAGGCCTAAATCTGTGTAGCAGCTAGCGGTGAGCAAGGTTCCAAGTAGGCCTATAGCCTACGGTTATCAGTCCATGTCGTTCTTAGCAGGCCAGAACTATTATACTAACTGTTTTAATTCAAGTTGGTAGCCAAAAGGGAGCTGGAGCTTGAATTGAATGAAACTACGGTATTATAGTTTATATTATATTTTTTTAAAAACTACAATGTCGGGGCCCCTCGCGCCTGGCGCCCCCCCCCCCCTCCGTCAGCGCCCGAATGTGACACCACTGATTGTAACAACTGCTGATTGTAGCAACCCCAAAACGAACGGCGCTTCAGAAAATACAGTAGGCCTACAAGTATACAAATTATTCTCGCAAACTTTCTATCCTATCGCGTTGTTTTTGTTAAGTTAAATTACTTTATTTTTATTTTTTTGAAGTGTACAGTTTTTTTGAATATTTTAAAATCCTTAAGTTAAATTTATTTTTTTAAAGTTTATTTTTTTTTAATTTTCAATGAAAAATAAATGCGATCTTTAATATTGACCTTGGTACAATGTAAACCTGTAATCATATGACTACTTATACAGAATTTTACTATATTATAGGCCTAGACTAGGACCAGGCCTCCTACTATAGTATAAGAGGCCTATTCCAAGACCTTGTTGCAAATCCCAGCCCACATAAGCCTATCCTATAATGCCTAGCATAGGACTTGTTTTCGCGGTACCCTGTCCATTGAAAATTAGCAGACGCACTGGAAGCGTTGTTCACGGCGTTGGACTGCAGCGAATAATGATTCCCCCATCATTAATGGGACAGGCCTACGTCACGCTTGGCTGACTAGTTTTGATTTACATTTCACATGTCTTGTGTTGTTGTAAAATGTATTTCAAAACAGTCATGCTTGGCTGGTTTGACATGGACTTTTGCTGCTTATGGCACAGACACACAAAATGTAAATCAAAACTAGTCAGCCAAGCGTGACGTGGGCCTGTTCCATTAATGAGGGGGGAATCATTTTTCGCTGCAGTCCAATGCCGTGAACAAAGTCCCAGTGCGTCTGCTATTTTTTAATGGTCTGGGTACCGCGATCACAAGTTCAGGCCCGTAGGCAGGGGGAGGAGGTGCAGAGGGTACGTGCGGACGCACCCCACAAATTCCAAAAGTTCCCATGATTTCACAAAATCGTTTCTAATTATTACAAAATGCTATAGGATGCATTGCATTATATATTTTCCAGCGTATCTAACCGTTGATTTTTAATAATATGGCATGACATTTGTTAGAAATTGATCGTCTCCGGTGATTGCAGATTGATCTATATAATATGAAGAATGTTATCTATAGGCATGCAGATGTACAGGACATAATAACGTTACTTTTTCAGGTCCCAAAAACACCCAAATTAATGAAAATTTAAATGAAATATTCATGAATAATGTGTTTGAGAAATCTATTATGTAAGACCCTTAAAATGCTACTTTGTCGCTTTTCTCACAAACCCCCCTCCAGGCCTCTGCCCCTGGACCACCCAATTTCAGAAAGTCTACTTTAAAAACCTATTATTTCACTAAAATCGTTCCTAATTATCGCGAAATGCTATAGTATGCATTACATTTTTTTGCCCGCTCTTCTCCCCGTTGATTTTTAATAATGTGCTGAAATTATCAGCTCCAGTGATTGCAGATTGATCCATGTCATCTGCAGGCCTACAGATGTAAAGAACATAAACAATTACAATTTCACAGTGGTGGATTCAAGGGAGAAGAGCCCCCTAAAATTATAAAAGAAAATGGAGAAAAAAGACAAATAATAATTGAAGTTTGTCTGAGAGTGCCATTTCCGGTCATTTTGAGGTGCCATAATCATAAATTTTCTTACCCCCAATCATGGTGGGGCTGAGGTAGAATTGACCTTCTGTCTCAAGTTCCTCCCTTTACCCCCATCCTCTATTTCTCCTGCTTTTACTGTAGGTCCCTAGACAATACTCAAATGAATGAAAATTTAAATCGGGATATTACAAATTATGGATTTTAGAAATCCATTAAAAAAGGCCCTCAAAATTTTTCAGAGCTTCCAGAAGATTCGCATCACCTTCACGGGACCCGTTGGCAGTCGCCCATAAGGTCCACTTCGGTTGCAAAAAGCTCCTCCCCATCGAAAATCCTGCCTACGGCCCTGCCCTATTCTAGGCATTATAGGCTAGGCTTATGTAAGTAAGTGAGGCTGTCAGGAAGTGTGTCGATGTATTAACTAGCTCCACAAAAAAAGTCTCTTAAATAGCAAATTATTCACCTGGCCTACTTTTCGACGATTTAATCTTTTATTTTATAAGAAGACGACAACATGGCAACAACTAGATCAACCAAATCAAAACGTGGAATCGAGAAACCTAGCATCAACGGAGGCAAGTCCGACCTAGGCCTTAGCCCACAACTGGATACGAGCGGTCCTGAATCAGCAACGGCAACTGCGACACCGGGAACGCCTTCGACTCAACAAGAGCTGGGCCCGCTACACAATCTCCTGTCGGACGATCCCCAATTGATCGCCATCGTTGCAACGAGCATCAGCAACCACATATTATCATCTCCTGAACTGTTCCAAAAAATCGTTAAAGCTGTTTGTGATAATAAAACTTTAATTTCTGCCATCAGCAAAACTATACGCCTTTTTCACGAATCGGTAGACATCTTGAAGTGATGACAAACATTGCGAATCAGCGGTGCGTAACCAACAGAAATAAGATAAGCTTTTGGGCGGATTGTTTGACATCATGTTATTTAAAAAATCATAACTCTATAACGGGGCGTCGTATCCAAAAAAATTTCCAGCAAAATGTTCTTAAAAGACTAATCTACACCACTATATGATTGAAAAAAAATTGAAAATTTTTTTTGACCTCTGAAATCAAGATTGAAAAATAAAAGCCTATCTCAGTAGTGTATTAAATAGGTGTATGCATTACAGTGCTGTAGTACTAGTAATACTCTGAACTCTGAACTAGCATTGTTTTAGTTACCATATGAGAGTTTCCTGTGTTAAAAACATGATTTACTATACTATACCTCTTTATAAAACATAACTAATCATATAGTGGTGTAGACTGGTCTTTTAAGAACATTTTCCTGGAAACACTTTTTGGATACGACGCCCCGTTATGGAGTTATGCTTTTTTAAATAACATGATGTCAGAAAATCAGCCCAAAAGCTTATCTTATTTCTGTTGGTTACGCACCGCTGATTCGCAATGTTTGTCATCACTTCAAGATGTCTACCGATTCGTGAAAAAAACGTATTATCGATCAGGTTAGTGATCATGTTTATGAAAGCGTTGCCTATGACAACGAGTCAACTGCGGGCGACATTGCCAGCCTTCGTGATCAAAATCACAAGCTCCTAGCCGAAAATCGCGATATCGTGGACAAGCTAGATGAACTAGAACAATACAGTAGGCGTAACTGCCTGCTTCTTCAAGGTGTTCCAGAGTCCAATAACGAAAACACGGACTCTTTGGCTCTTGATGTTATTAATTCCAGGATTAATAGTGAGGTTGATCTGTGTGATTTTGATCGCACCCACCGATTAGGCAGAAGAAAAGTTTTTGAAAATAAACCTAAACCAAGACCCATCATCGTCAAATTCACCTCTTACCGTACCCGCTCAGCAGTCTTTCGTAACAAAAAATCTCTTAAGCATTCTGGTTTCTCAATTACTGAGAATCTTACATCTAGAAGATTAAAGCTCCTACATGAAGCACTAAGAAGCGAGACTGTATGGTCTATGAATGGGAGGATTTACTGCGTGACGAAGAAGAGCATGAAGAAAGTCGTTATCAAGTCCGAATCCGAACTCCGTCATCTCTGAACTATATGTAGGATATTAATAACGATGAGCTAAGTACTCTACTAACTCACTAACTGATTAATCTGTAACACTAAACTGCATGATTGTCATTTTTTTTTTGGCATTTTCTTTCATCATTCAGATCTTGTTGGAACTCTGACTTTGTATTTAAATTCTGTATTAACTTCAATTTCTTTATTAGCGAAATTTTAATGCTGCTGTCGGAGCTGCTGATGCTTCTTACTGATTTATTCAATTATTCCATTTAGTAACAAAATTTTACTCTGCATGAGTTTACATCAATTCTTTTTTTCAAAATGTTTTTTTCTGCTGCTGGTGTTTGCTTTTATCATTATTATTGTTGTTATTACTATAATCATCATCATTTGCATTTCTACTGTTATTATTTGGCTATTAACTTTGTCTTCATATTTATATTAATTTTATTAATTTTTTTGTTTATGTTTTATTATTAATGGTCATTGTTTTTGTTTCATTTTTATTTATTTATTTATTTTATTTTTCCTAATGATTATCCTTATTTATTTTTTTATTTATTTATTTTATTTTTTACTTTATATATATATATATATATGTCTCTTATACACATCTAGATGTGTATAAGAGACAGGCCCTATTCTTTATATATATATATATATATATATTTATTATTATTCTTATTTTTTTATTTGTATGTATATACTGTATATTTATAAAAATTTATATATGTATATTATTTATAATTTTTATTAAATTTTTTTACACCATTTAATTATCTTAATTATTTAGGCCTACCTTAATTTTTCTAACTTTTCATGCAATTTTTGATTCTTTTGAGTTTTTTATACTTCTGACTTCTTTGATTTTTTGTAACTTTTGCTTTAAAATTTTATTTTTTAAGTGATTGTTTGTGTTTTGTTTTTTCTATGTTATTATGTCTCATGTTAATTGTAGTTGTAACAGCACCTCGAGTCCTGATCGGTTATCCAACCTATGTTTTTCTCCCTTTTTAAACAATTCAGATAATTTTACCTCAAATATTGATCCCGATTCTCAGTTTTTTTCTAATAATAATCAAAATATCTCAGAATATTATGACCCTGATGACTTCCCTGTCACAAAAACCTCCATTTTCTCTACTATTCATTTTAATTCTAGAAGCATTTAAAAAAATGATCAAAATTTGATCAAATTAAACAACTCTTGGTATCACTCAAACTACCATTTGATATTATTGGAGTGAGTGAAACTTGGATCAAATACGATAATCCCCTGGTGCAGCTTCCCAATTATAACACATAAAGACGGCGGTGGAGTAGCCATGTATATTCATGATAGTCTTCAATTTTCTACTAGACATGATCTTCGTCTTCACCACTCTAACTGTGAATCAATTTTTATTTATTTAAAAACTCAATTTTTTTATTGAGATTGCAAGACCCCATTCCAAAAACATTGTCGTCGGGACTGTATATAGATCCCCATCCCTGGACCCTCTGCAATTTACTGATGAATTTGACACTGTCCTCTCCAAATTATCAAGTGAAATATTCTCGGAGACCTTAATATTGATATCTTGAAGTATGAGTCTGATAATTGTGCTCGCTACTTGGTCAACTCTTTTTTCGGCAATCATTATCTTCCCCGAATTCACAGACCATCTCGTATCACAAAAACCTCAGCTACCTTGTTAGATAATATCATTACTAATCAATTTGACTTTCCCAATTTGAGCGGATTAATCTATAGCGACATTTCTGATCATCTCCCTGTTTTTAATATTTCCTATTTTCCACGTGTTGTAAATAGCTCAAATAAGGAAGAGAATCCCAAGTTTAAAATTAATCCCACCACCTTAGAAAACTTCCGTCGTGAGGTGTCCACTCAATAGTGGTCTGAAGTCATGAATATTCAGGACCCTAATAAAGCTTATTCAAATTTTGAAACCACACTAAAGACAATTTATGATAAACATTTTCCTCTCCTAAATTCCCCCCAAAAATGTAGTAAGATTAAACCATGGATGTCCGATGATTTGCTTAAATCAATTAAATATAAACAGAAATTATATGCTAAATTTCTCCACTGCCCCTCTACTACCAACGAAAGAGCCTACAAAACTTTCCGCAACAAATTAAATTATATTATCAAAAACACACAAAAAAAAAACATTTCCAAAATACATTTCTTGAACATAAAAACGATATCAAGGCAACTTGGAAAACCATTAATTCTTTAATCAATAAATCAAGTAGTCAACATTCCAATACCTCCTTTAATTGTGATGAAGAATTGACCAAGGATCCAGATAAAATCTCTAATGCTTTTAACAAATACTTTGTCGAAATTGGACCTTTCCTTTCAAACAAAATTCCCCACGCCAATAAATCATTCAAAGACTTTCTCCCAAACCCAACCAATAATTCCATATTTCTTACCCCAGTTGATGAGGCTGAAGTGACCCAAGTACTTGCTTCTTTTAAAACCAACAAATCCCCAGGTATTGACGACTTCCATACTAAAGCCATCAAATACATTGCTAATCTCATCTCTCGTCCATTATGCCATATATTTAACATTGCCCTAACCAGTGGTGTGTTCCCAGACAGGATGAAGTTAGCGCGCGTTACCCCTATTTACAAATCTGGCATCAAATCTGACCTCTCTAATTATCGTCCCATTTCAATTTTATCCATTTTTTCGAAGGCCTTGGAAAAGGTAATTTACGATCGAATATTCTCGTTTATTACTAAATACGAGATACTCTATAAAAAACAGTTCGGTTTCAGGAAAGGACACAGTACTTCAATGTCCCTTATCGATCTAACAAACAAAATTGTTAATGCTTTTGAAAATCGCCAGCATGCAATTGGACTTTTTATAGATCTTTCCAAGGCCTTCGACACCATTGATCACAATATTCTTTTATTTTAAGTTGTCCCATTATGGAATTCGCGGCCCCGCCCTTAGCCTTCTCAAAAGTTACCTCTCCAACCGGGCCCAGTGTACTAAGTATTCAACCTCTATATCTAATTACAGGCCAATTACTTGTGGAGTTCCTCAAGGCTCCTTATTGGGGCCCCTTCTTTTTATTTTAAACGTCAATGATATCAGTCAATCCTCAAAGTTACTTAATTTTTTTCTTTATGCAGATGATACCACTGTGTTTTGTTCTGATCATAATATCCAATCATTATTTGATACTGTCAACTCCAACCTGATTCCCTTATCCCAATTCTTTGCTGCTAACAAACTTTCAATTAACCATAATAAATGTAACTTCATCCTGTTTAGGACCCCACAGAAGTTAAAATGTATTGATACCACCCCTTTTAAAATCTTTATTGACAGCTATGACATACCCTCTGTTCAATCAGTCAAGTTCTTAGGGGTACATATTGACAGCGGGCTTACATGGAAAAAGCTTATCAACAAAACTGAGAATAAAATTTCAAAAAGCCTTGGTATTAATTTTAGATTATCCCAATTTGTACCCCATAATATTCTCCGTATCCTTTACTGCTCCCTAATCCTTCCTTATTTGAGCTACTGCAATATCGTTTGGGGCAATACCTATTTACCCAACATTAACAAACTCCACATTCTCCAAAAAAAAAAAAAGCTATTAGACTAATATCTGGCGCTCCACCACTGTCTCATTCCTCTCCCTTATTTTCCGATTTAAACCTTCTCAAACTCACTGACATTAACCGAATTCAACAAGGTACTTTTTTTATACTCAGCCATTAATTCTATTCTCCCTAATCATCTTAGTAAAATGTTTACCCTAAATTACTCCATACATGATTATCATACTCGATCTAGAAATGACATTCACATACCTAATCATAACACTAACTATTTTCAACACAATATTAGATACACTGGCCCTATACTCTGGAATAATCTACCACTCTCAGTATTAAACTCAGTATCCGTTACATCCTTTACCAAAAAACTGAGAATTCACCTTGTTTCTCAATACTAAATGTTTTTTCTTAACGATCACGACTCGACCTGCTGCTCCTTGAAACTGCCTGTTCTGTTGTCTTGTTTGTGTGCGTTTGTGCCGTGTGTTTGTTTGTTTGTCTGGGTCTCTGTGTGTTCTTGTGAGTCTGTGTCCAGGCCTGCCCATCACAAGATTTTTTTTTCAAATCTTCTCGGGCTTGTGCCTTCTTCCTTTTGAATTTTTCCTCATAAACCGATTTTTTTGTATTTTTCTGTATGATTGCAATTGGAAGTTAATAATGTCTTTTGAAAAAAAAAAATATGTTGTGGGCTGGGATTTGCAACAAGGTCTTGGACTAGGCCTCTATACTATTATAGTAGGAGGCCTGGTCCTAGTCTAGGCCTATAATATAGTAAAATTCTGTATAAGTAGTCATTATGATTTACATTGTACCAAGGTCAATATTAACGATCGTATTTATTTTTCATTGAAAATAAAAAAAAAAAAAAACTTAAAAAAAAAAATTAACTTAAAGGACTTGTGAAATATAGCTGGAATATGACGTTTTAGGATCATCATTACCTAATAAAAAGATGTGCCAAATTTGGAATCTGAAAAATGTTGGCTTCATTAGGTAATTTAAGGATTTGTATGTCCTTACTGCAAACCTGCCAGAAATTAATGAGGTAAAACAAATCTGCGTTGTGACGTCATTTGTGCCTGAATTCAGGTTGCGTAATCTGATCCACATCAGTCCACGCTGGGAAACATATGCGCAAGTAGATTAGTAGTAGTTGTGTACGGGGTGTTTTTGGTATGATCTGTCCAAGTACAGCTACGGTATGTGGATGAATTGTTATGGTGATTAACACTTCAATAATTTAGCATCAATAATATTGTACTAAATACAATAATGACAGTACTACACAAGATGCAGAAGCAAATAAATTCACATCACGATCCAGAAATAGGCCTAGGCTAGACTGCTAGACTAGAGAGAGTGAGGACGGTAGCCGATCATTTCGGTCGCGCTTCGTTTCGGTCGCGCTTTGCTTCGGTCGCGCTTCGTTTC